AAATTTACTAATTAATTTTTAAAAATATTTGTTAAAAATCCTATGTTTTTTAAGCTGAGAGTTTAATATTTTTAAGAGTCCCATATGCACCATTTTTTCCTTTTATAACATTTTTTTTGCATGTGCTTCTCAAATCATATACCCTGGTAGCAATGCACTCGCTATAAAAGTCCACTGGTATTAGCCAATCAATCAATGCATTTCTCTTTTTCTTGAACGGTTTCGAACTCATCACTTGTTAAAATATTAAAAAAAAAAAAAAAACTCTGATAGCAATAATTTTAAGTTTGACAAACGTTGCATATTCGTATCCAGGAAGAAGACTTAACTAGCCGTTTCAATGAGAGATTCCTGTGAGACTTGGGTAAAAGGAAACCCCACTAGGCATATATTAGGCACTAGGTATGAGGTTTCTGTTAATGCTGCAATCTTCAACACCCCAGAAGCCTAGTCTTCCGCTGCATCAATCTTTTTGCATTAGGACCTAAATGTAGCCTTTTTGAACTCCATTAATATATTCATCGGATGCAAGTTTATCTTAAAGTTTCTTTTGTTTAATTTTTCAAAGTGATTAACAGTTGATCTCTTTGTTCAGACATACTTTGGAATTGGAACGGTGCAGAAATTAAGTTCCCTAATGTAGCAATATTTTAAGACATCTGAGACCAGTTAGTGGTGCAGTTCAGCTTTGTCTGAAATATATATATATATATATGCCCAAGATTGAACTGGAACAATTAAGCCATTTGATTAGTGTAATTCCTTAGATTTATATTAATCCTATTGTTAATTAATGAACTAGAAAGCTGTTAATTGGATGTTGCCAAGTTCTATTTTTTAATAAAGTAGTCTCTTTAGAATTATTGCAATCTCAGAAAATCTAATCTCAGCAAATTCAACCGTACTTTCAGGTGTTTTGTCTGAAATTATTTAAGTTTGGCAGCAATGCAAGGGCTTAAAGGAGCGCAAAAAACAGCCTAATTAAACAGCCTTTTGTCGGGGAACAATCCTAAACCCAGATCTATTAATAATGGAGAAATATTATATAGACATCCTAATTAATTATGCAAAATAGGCATAGAAAGCAAAAGCTAAATT